GATTATTGTGCCATAAATATCTTTATTAATGTGAATGAATTTTCTACTTGAATTGTTTTGTTTTGAATCGAAGCAATTGCAGATGTTGAAATTTATTCTTACTCTTTCTGCTGCCTCCGTTTTAGCTTGATGGATTTCGACAATACATTGTGAGAGACTTAGCTGGAAAATTCTAAGGGAGGACGATGGTACGTCTTTGCCATCTGTTCAATATACATTTCAACTTGCGGTATTTTATGGTGTCCCATGGTCAGTTATTCTAACTTTCTTTACTTAATACGACAGATTCCGTTGGATACGGCGATGCTCTCATTGCACTTCTACCTTCTTTTCCCGGGATAAAGAAGCTGCAGTAGATGATTCGATAATTTCGCTCGTTACCAACTGGTTTGTCGCAGATGTAAGCTTTGTGTCATTTAGTACTTGAAATGTGGAACTTGTGAACATCACTGGGAATCTACCATTGAACTTGAAGCATTTTCATTCATTGCAACCATTGAACATACATTTTATGTTATTTTGATAACTATCGAAACAATGTTGGTAACCATTAATTTATCGTTTGTAACTTTTACTACATTTTAGCTATTTTTAAATTATTTGATACATTTTAATACAATTATTTTAATATCTGCAATATATGCTTTGATTTGTAGATCTGATTATTACTGTGGGTGTAAAGAATGTCTTTAATGGTGTTTTATGCAACTTATGCAACTACTACTACTAGTGACATTTGCAGCGTTTTTAGATGAAAATGCCACTAATAATGGGCTTATTTGCGGCGTTTTTAATTACAAATGACATTATATACATAGTCAATAGCGGCGTTTGTAAAGAAAAACGCCGCTAAAAGCACAATCAATAGCGGCGTTTGTAAAGACAAACGCCGCTAAATATAAAGTCAATAGCGGCGTTTATAAAGACAAACGCCGCTAAATATACAATCAATAGCGGCGTTTATAAAGAAAATGCCGCTAAATGCACAATCAATAGCGGCGTTTGTAAAGATAAATGCCGCTAATACAAAGTCAATAGCGGCGTTTATAAAGCCAAACGCCGCTAAATACACAGTTAATAGCGGTGTTTATAAAGATAAACGCCGCTAAATACACAGTCAATAGAGGCGTTTGTAAAGACAAACGCCGCTAAATACCAATACCTATTGCGGCGTTTGGCATACAAACGCCGCTAAATATCAATACCTATTACGGCGTTTTTTAACAAAAAACGCCGTGAACTTTAGCGGCGCTATTTTCAACGGCGGTTTTCGCGACGTTTGTCTTAACGCCGCATGTGTTTTTAGCGGCGCTTATAAACGCCGCTAAAGGTAAAAAAACGCTGCAAAAAGCATGTTTTGTTGTAGTGAAAAGAATCTAAAATTAACCCTGCTAATTTTGTATTCTCGAATCATATTTTCATGTATTATCAAGATTTTGTAATTACATATGTTCGATCATACTTAGCTCCAAATGATCGATGACAACTTTATATATAAAAAAACTAAATATTCATGTCTTTTTTTATAAAAAAAACTAGTTAATCTTAGCATTTGGTTTCTCCTTGTCCAACGATCTTAAAAGAGTGTAAAACTAAAATAGTTTTACATAATATAACTGGATCATATATATATATATATATGGTTACACGTAGAAGATAAGTACTAACATGAATGCAAACAGAATTAGTAATGCAAACATTATTTCCAATTACTCAATAAAATAAATATTATGTTATAAACTTTTTCCTATCAACATATAATAATGGGTAAACTACTACATTGATCACTTTTCTTTTATATTTATATAATTTTGCTCACTATATTTTAAAACATTAAGTTTTAGATATTTATATTATCATTTTATTAAGTTTGAGTCACGTTATTGATTGTTATAATTTGGTCACCGAGGTGCTAATAATAATAAAAATATATATATTTATGTGCATTGTGTCTTGTTTTTTTAGCATGAATTGTGTAAATTTAATTATAACAAATAATCATTAAATGTGTTAAAAATGTTTTAGATGTAATAAATCTATATCTTAAACATGTCATAATTGTATTTAAATGTCTCAACTGTGATTTGTTGAAATTATAAATCGGAAAAGTTGAAATAATGGTTCTTTGTCATTGATTTTATCAAAGTTGTTTTCTTTTTCCTACTATAGTGACTGGAATTCTGAGAAGTTAGATGAGCATTTTACTAGTAAGACACTTGAACATTCATGAACTTTCTAGTGAATGGATAATTAAAGGTGAAAGAATTTGGCTAAATGATTTTCCAATGGAGGGAAAGGCTTTCAAATAGAAAAAGAAAATACACTAAAAATATGATAATACTAATACTAATACTACTACTACTAATAATAATAATAATGGTGACAACAATGATGGCGGCTGATGGTGATCGACAGTAATGGATAACGGTGTTGAGTTGTTGCCGGTGATGGAAGACTTTGGTCAAATTGATATTTTAACTAAAGTTTAGTGGTTAAAATGATATTTTATCTAAAGTTTAGTGTCAAAACAATATTATATCTTAAATCCAAGGGTCAAGTTAAAAATTAACCCCTTTTAACTAACTTGCCACATCATCAAACTAACATTTAACTACTTAGTGACCAAAATGTAACAATCGATAGTGTAAGTGATAAAAATTTAATAAATCAATCACATAAGTGATCAAAACTTAACTTTTTTTTAGTTTAATGAATAAAAATATACAAATATGAAAAAAAGTGATCAATTCAAAAATTTGCCCTCGAATAATTCACTTGCAGGGGAATGTTTATTGAAGTGATTCCAAAATACTGTTTTAAACGCAAAATCATTCTCAAACAATACATGTTCAGTTAAAAAATTAATATGATTATTGGCTCAAATCAAAAAATTTAAAAATAGTACTTTTTGTTGAGAAAACTCATTGAAAAACTCATTTGGAGTAGTATTTTCAAACACAGTGTTGCTTGTAGGGATGGGCACGAGACCCGAATTCGACAGGTTCCGACCCGGCCTGACCCGATCAGGTTGATTTTTTTAAAAAAAATTTGGTTTGGATCGGGTCGGATCGAGTTGGTTTTTAGAGGTTATGTTTGGGTCGGTCGGGTTCGGATTTAGGGTAAAAAATATCTGACCCGACCTAAAAAAATTATAATTTTAACTTATATATTTAGGGATAATTGCAGTAATGTCCCTCTACATATTATATTTTTCCATTAAGTTCTTATTTTATTGAATAAAAATAGTATTTTAAATTATTTCATTAAAAATAATATTTTTAATAAATATATGATTTCGGTTAGGATTGAGTTCTGATTTTATCTCAAAAAGGTAAATCGGATTCGGATCGGATGGGAATTGTATATTTTTCAAATAAGATTCGCGTCGGGTAGAGAATGTATAATTTTCCGATAGAGTTGAGTGAGAATGAAAACTCGATCCGATCCGATCCGATCTGATCCATATCCATCCCTTGTTGCTTGGTTTTGGAAGCCTAGGATTGGGTGTTTAACCCACAATTTAGTTTTTCCGTTATTATTTACCAATTTTATCCAGCCAAAGACGAACAAGTTTAATAATGGGGCAGAAGCTCCATCATTTTGTATGCCTTACGAGCATGCCATATAAACTCATAATTTTGCATTATTACTTGGTTCCCTTAATGGGATGCTCCTCATTATGTCAGTTCCCCAAAATTACTAAACGTTGTTCATATCTTATCAAGCTTTTTTCTTTTAACTTAATTTGTTATTCTTCGAATCCATTAAACGACCTCAGTGATTAAAAGAAGTGTTGTTCTTCCTAGAGGCCCCTAAACCCTATTTTAAAAAAATAGCTATTCTTCAAAATTACTAAATATTATTCACATCTTACCGCATTTAAGTTGGTCTCTCCTTTTAATAGCCAATTATACAAATTCATCCAAAAAGCACTGGCTGATGGTAATACATGTAAGGCTAAATTTAAAATAAAATTGAAATTAAGTATTAATTAAGATGATTGCTTGGTAATTTAGTATAGTCAACTCTTATTATTCTTAAACCCCTAGCATTGTTTGTCTTTAATAACTATGCTTTCTACATCCTTCACTTGTGTAATCATAACTAGGCGTTGACAAACTCAACCACGTTAATCAAAGCATAGCTATAAAGCTACCACATTTTTTTAATCTAATTTATGAAGTCAACCAAATCAAATAAAATTCCTCCATCGATAAATTAAGCAAGAATTATTGCATGAAAAAAGGGGAAAAATCAAGATTGAGATGAAAAGAGGTATTTCACTTAAGTTTATTGATATAATTATTTGATATGGACAATATTAAACGTTTACATTATGGTTAGTGTAATATGTAAGAAGATAGGGGGAGAATGGTTAGTGTAATATGTAAGAAGATAGGGGGAGAGCGGCTAAGAAAGCTATTTCTTTTAAAATCTTTAAATTCTCGTATAATTTAAATATTTATTTTACTTTTTTAAAATAAATTATTTTCGTCTCCCAAAATTTTATATATTTACTATACTCTTATAATTTTATAAATTTATCCTTAACATAAAATATTGTGTTCTGATTCATCTCTGTAAGAAAAATAAAACCAAATATACTTAAATATTTAATTTTTTTATTTTATAAGTGGTTCAAATGGTTAAAGAAATAGGATATCATTTCATTTATGAATTGGGAACTGATTTTTCCTATTTTACAATAATAGTGCATATTTGAATTTCTTAAGCTATCTCTATCTAGAATTTAAAGAGAAGAAAAATAAACTTTCTAGAACAAGTTTTGCCAAAATTTTCAAGGAATCATAAAATTAATTAATTAAGATGAGGTAAGGTCCAATATTTTTGGGGTATTAAATAATTATTATAATTTCTTTGATTTCTGTTTGATCTTCGCTTACCCTTCACTAGGGGGTTTTGCCCTTGAATTGAACGTGGACAGCGTCTATAAATTAACCCACCCTGCACAGTCCTCTCCACCAAGATTATTCAAAGAAAAAAAAAAAAACAGTAAATGAATTCCAAGGTCTTCTCCTTTTGCTTGATCGTCTTCCTCCTCTTCTTCACCTTATCTCCCGCCGCAGTGGCTCGGCCGGAGCCCACTGCATCTCAAGTTCAGCATCCGAATGCCCCAATCAAAAGTCTAAATCCGGTATGTATGTTTAATTCTTTTTCAACGAGCAAAAAAAAAAAAAAACTGATTTCTTGATGCAAATCTGTTTCAAACAAACCACCTTTTTTCCATCTTGATTTGGTTCATAAAGCTCATTAAATGAATAGGTAAGAATCATGTTTTGAATTTTCTGATGAATTGGCTGTTAAAAGATATTTCAGGTTACTGAAACAGAGAGGGTTGAAGTGGATGATATTTGTCGAGGAATTAAAGAAGAAGAAGAGTGCTTGATGAGAAGAACACTTGCAGCTCACGTGGATTACATCTACACCCAGAAGACGAATCCTTGACTCATAGGCATAGCCTCTCTTCTTCATAGATTTTGGGCTTCTTTTGTATCAGGTTGTTTCAAGACAGATTTTTGTTTTCATCTTCAGGCGAGGGTTTTTAGTTGATAAAGAAATATAGGGTTTGATTCTTCCTTCTCATGTTGGAGAAAATTTTGTGGTTGTTTTAACTTAAACCAGTACGGTAATATGTGCTATAGAAGATACTAAAAATATTATTTTATATGTTTTAGTAATTTGATTTCTGAACTTTATATGCAAAGATTTCAAGCACAAATTCAGAAGAGAGGACAAATTAAGAACATAAATAAGGGAATAATAGTAAGGGTATAGTACACGAATGGTCACTCAAGTTCAAGTAAATTTTTATTTTTCATATTGAGTTTTCAAAAGTTACAAATTGGTGACACTTGAATGATTTCAAATGCAAAAAATGGAGGAAAAGCTTGGGTCCATTTTCCTTGTATGATAGAAGGCAAGATCATCATGCAAATGAGGAAAAAGGCATAAAGGAGAAAAGGGAAAAAATAGGTGAAACAGTAACAATAGACATGCCATTCTTTGCTGAATTTCTATTGAAATATTAATGCATGTTGTAGCTCATTACTAATATCAAAACGAAAGCTCTAAACATCGACATCTAGTTTGCTTAAGATGTCTATTCTTCACAGGACTGACTTCGGAAGGTAATCACCTTGATATCCATAAATTAAGGCAGAGGGTTAAATATATCCTCTCGAAACGATTTTTCTTTAAAAAATTTAATTTTTTAATAGTGGTTTTTAAAAGATCCCATCTTGAATAATTTGGTGTTTCTTTTTAATAATAAAATATGATTCGAAGAGTCACCACCAATCTTTGATTAGGGTGTGATTGTACACCTAAAAACGTATTTATCATTTTAATAAAATATTAATTTTATTTAAAAAAAAACAAAATTTACGGTATACGTTACAAAAATTTTGAGTTTGTGAGTTGGTTACGCGTGGGGAAGGATCATAACCCGCACCCCCACAGCGCGCTAAATCGGTACCTAATCGATTAATTAGTTGTCTTTGCAATAAAATTTACGAATTCGATTTCAATTTAAATTAAGATCTCATAAAAATAATATTCTTTAAATTTTAAGACGAAACACAATAATATTTAATTATTTCCTATTAAGAAGAATCGACCTCTCTTGTCTTAAACCAGTCGATTCTTACTCCACTCGAAATAAAGGAATATTGCAATTTCATCCTAAAGTTTATTATTAATTCAAAAATTAAGTGCAGAAATAACAATAAAATAAAAAAAATTAAATTTAAGATTTTCTTTTTAAAACATACTCTTTGAAATTTAAGAGGGAAAACAGTAATATTTAATTATTTCCAATTGAGAATAAATGACCTCTCATGCCTTAAAGTAATCATTTATTACTCTAATCGAAATAAAGAAACATTACTATCTCATCCTAAAATTCAATATTAATTCGAGTGTTATTTATTTTTGAAATCATATTAAAAATACAAACACAAATAAAACAAAAAAATACAAACATATATCAAGCAAATACGATTAATTAAATTTACCAACCATTAATGAGAATAAGGATGTTCAATTATTTAAATACATCGAGACGAGACCTTAAATTCGATCTAACATTCTTTTCTCAGTGAATTTAATTAAAAGAACATGATCTTTTTCTCAGTCCCCAAATTTTAATGTAATCGATTTTATTCTTGTCACTTAATGGAATAAACTTTCATTTTAAAATTATTGAAAGTAACTTTTTTATATTTTAAGACAATCACTTCACAACAATCTTAAAATGAACGGATATTACCCTTAATTAAATTATTTCGATTTGAATCGAGAAATGCTTATGAAGATACAATGCAAATTAATTAAAATAGAACCTAGACCGATATGCATCAAATAATACATTACATACATAGCATACATAAAATAACAATACAATTAATTATATATATATATATATATAATATTATTTATCAAAGTATATTACACTTAATGAGCAAATATTAGTAACATAGCATATATGTATAAATTTAAAACATATAAAAAGTAACATAAAAAAATTATATGCTTTTATAAATATTTTTAACTTAGGATAAAAATAATTACATTATATACAAAAAGTGCAAAACGCACACACACATGTGTGTATATATATATATAAGTTAAAAAGAACAATAAATGAAATAAATACGTATATATAGTACATAATATTTTATAAATACGTAAATATGCATAAATGAAAGAATATAATATAAGGAATAAAACATATTTAAACTATTCGAAACAAGGATTAAATCACAATATAAATAAGGACTAAGCATGCTAATAAACCATATCATTTAAAACAATATTTGAAATAAGAAAGGATTAAAATGAAAAATCTAAAAATAACATGTCCAATATACAAACAGGCATAAACTCAAAATAACTAAGCCTAAGGATAAAAATATAAATAACCTAACATACAAGGACTAGGAATAAAAAATAAACTATAAATGTTTAGGACTAAAGTAAAGCATTTACAAAAATACATGCTAAAATTATAATAAATAAAAATAGATAAACCATATGGACCAAAATACAACACCCATGAAACAACAAGGCTAAATCAGAAACAAAATAAACTTTTAAACATGGACTAAAATGAATATGTGCAAAATAAAAGATTCAAATCAGAAGGTTAACAAAGTCTCAAAAAGTGACTAAAATGAATAAATTACAAACATCATATCCAAATGATAATAAAATAAGAAGTAGAATCTAAATAGTGAATAAAATGAATAAACATAAAACCTGTGACTAAATTCAAATAAACCAGAATACTAATAGTGACTAAATTAAAATAAGCAAAAATCAGAGCAAAAAAACAAAGAAATAAAATAAATAGGGGACTAGTGATCGAAGTGGAAAAATACACGTAAAGTAGAGGGACCTAGAAGAAAATAAACCAAAAAGTTAATTTTGAGAAATAAAAAGGGAAAATAGCAAAACAAAGACAATTAAATTTGAAAAGATCGCATGACAGTGACCAAAATGCAATATAGAGAAACTTGGGAGGATCGCGGAAGAGACTAGACCATTGGGCCCAAAACTCACGGTTATAGCCCAAAACGACGCCGTTTGATTTGGTTTATATATATCCCTTTTTGTTTTTTTTTCTATTTTCCCTTCTTCACTCTATCTCCTTTCTCAAACTCTCTTCATTCTCTCTACATTTCTCAAGAAATCGATGACGAACGTCATTGCCGACAATCGCGTCGGCTGCCGGCCACCACTGTCTTTGATTGTCATTAGCCACCAAACTTTAGAGGTTTGCTCGCCCTAGAGCTGTAAGGTCAGATTGGGGCTTTTGTTTTGTGAGATTCGACCCTCAACTCCACGAAAAGTGCCAATAACCCTTCGGCTTCATGTGCTCCGATCTACCTTCTCCGCTGTTAAATCGACTCAATCTTTGAAGTATGATGCTCCCCTCCTCTATATGCCTCTGCTCATCATTCAGATTCGGCGATGGAGACTCCAAACACCGGCGATATTCAGATCGAGAGGTAAAACCCCTCTATTTTATCTTTATTATTTTTTTCAAAAATAATTATAAAATAAAATAAAAAACTTATGCCTTTCCTTGTTTTAAAAATGGGGAAGACTTCATTTTTTTTTAATCGAGGAACCCCTTTTTTACAATATCTCATCTCTTCTTTTTTCGAGTTCGGATCCCTCCTTTATATTTCGATTGCTTTGGGTTTTATAACCACCTAATTAAAATAATAAAAAATTAAAAATTACATCAATGATTTGGTATTGTTGGAGCAGTTTGCAAGGAGTGGTGATGGCAGATGGTAGGGGAATGATTTCCCTAAGCCCCCTTTAACCAACCCGGATTTTATGGGATTTACAAAAAAATTAAAGGGTTTTTCCAGGTTTGGTTTAGTTTGGTGGGTTTTCTAACACTTTTGATTTATTATTGTTGTAGATGACAATGAGTAGTTGAAACAGTGGCTGGATCGTCGGGAACAAGTGGCCAGAACAGTAACGATGGTGAAAGAATCTCATCGACGGTGGCTGGAATGGAAAACTAGGGTTTTATCAAACCCTATTTGATATGGGCCATGATTGAGATTGGGCCGGTTTGGGCTGAATGGCCTTTGAATTGTATTTGGGCCCATATTGGGCTTATTGTAAAGGTCTGTAAAAGAAATAAAATATAAATAAATAAAAAAAATAATGTAATAATAATAATAATAATAATAATAATAAAATTATAATATTAATGAAATGTCAGGGCGAAAATGGGTGTCGACAACTACCCCTCTTTGCCCATTTTTGTGTTAACAAGAATAGGGCAAAGACAAAAGACAATGAGTTTTCATCCGGTTAAATATGTTCTTGGAAATATGATATTGTCTCCAATGAGACTAGAAATGAACAATATCTCAAGAGAGATTCTTAAAGATGAAATCTAAAAAGGGGTTTGCTCCGCTGCTTTTCGGGGTAGATAAGATCTCAAAACATTGATTTACTCCACTATTCTTCAGTGAAGATTGAATCGAGTCAGACTTTTTCCACTACTCCCCAGGGAAGATCAAATCTGGAAAAAAAGGATTTGCTTCGCTTCTCTTCAGGGTAGATCATATATGAAATTGTTGATTCATTCCAGTGCTCTTTAGGGAATATTGAATCGATATAGATTTGTTCCACTGCTCCTCAGAGAAGATCAAATCTGGAAAAAATCGATCTACTCCGCTGCTCTTCAAGGTAGATCAGATATGGAAACATTGATTCATTCCACTGTTCTTCAGGGTATATCAGATCTGGAAACGTTGATTCATTCCATTGTTCTTCATGTAAGATTGAATCGAGGTAGATTTGTTCCACTCTTCCTTAGGGAAGATCAAATATGGAAAAAAGGGGATCTGATCCGCTGCTCTTCAGGTTAGATCAGATCTGGAAACGTTGATTCATTCCACTATTCTTCAGGGAAGATTGAATCGAGGCATATTGTTCCATTGCTCCTCATGCAAGATCAAATATGGAAAAAAAAGGGATCTGCTCCGCTGCTCTTCAGGGTATATCAGATCTAGAAACGTTGATTCATTCCACTGTTCTTCAGGGAAGATTAAACCGAGTCAGACTTGTTCCACTACTCCTCAGGGAAGATCAAATTTGGAAAAAAGGGATATGTTC